GGGGGGGGGACACTGACCACGCGACGCACACGGCGGTGTTGCGATACCTCGCGTTCAAGTCTCTCCCAGAGCGCCTTCCTTTTTTCGACGTCATCCTGACGGTTCATTTCCTTGGCCAGGGGCCCGGGTGGTGATGGCGTGCCGTGACGTGCAGAAGGCCGAGGAGGCGGCGGCCGAGATCCGCGCGGGCGTCGGCGACGCGGCGGGCGCGGGCCAGCTGGTGGTGCGGCGCCTCGACCTGGCGCACCTGCAGTCGGTGCGCGAGTGCGCGCGCGAGATCCTCGAGACGGAGGCCAGCATCCACCTGCTCATCAACAACGCCGGCGTCATGGCCTGCCCGCGCATGGAGACCGAGGACGGGCTCGAGCTGCAGCTCGGCGTCAACCACTTCGGCCACTTCCTCTTCACCTGCCTGCTGCTGCCCAGGCTCATCCAGTCCGCGCCCGCCCGCGTCGTCACCCTCTCGTCGCTGGCGCACACCTCCGGTAAGAGGGGCCGACATCGGAACGATATAGAAACGTTGGAAGTCGGAAATTTGTCGGTTTTCGTGTCAGATCGACTTTTAGGAAAAAAAAACATAATTTAAATGCTACCTTTGATCGTTTCGATTTCGTTGCGACGTCGTCACGATATTGATCCGATATCTTGTCGATGTCACCTTAAGACACCAACTAGAAACATAACTTTGTACTGGGGGTTTGCCAATTCAACAAGCGACCACCGGTGACGACACTTTTCTTTCCTCACTCTTGACTTGCTTGCTCGCAGGTCGCATCAACTTCGACGACCTCAACTCGGAGCGGTCGTACGACCCGTGGAGGGCGTACCAGCAGAGCAAGCTGGCCAACGTGCTCTTCAGCGCCGAGCTCGCGCGGCGGCTGCGCGCCACCCAGCAGCAGGGCGACGTCTCCGCCGTCACCACGTACGCCGTGCACCCGGGCGTGGTCAAGACGGAGCTGGGCCGCCACCTGGACGGGCTCTACTTCAAGGGCGCGCGCGCCGCCATCGGTCTAGTGTTCCGGCCGTTCCTCAAGACGCCCGAGCAAGGCGCGCAGACCTCGATCCACTGCGCCGTGGACGAGCAGGCGGCCAGCGAGACGGGGCTGTACTACAGGTAGGCGAGACACGAGCGGCGTGGAGCAACGGTGGCAACTGCTCTTGGTCGCGGTTTTGACTTACAAACATCGGTGCGATGCGAACGTGACCATTTGGTATACAATAAACCAAACTGACCTGCCATTAAACAGTTTACAAAATTGAGCTTACATCCTCTATTCTATGCTGATCTTCCTAACGTGTTCCAGTGACTGCAAGGTGAAGAGGCCATCATCAAGAGCCGAGGACGAGGAGGTGGCAAGACGACTCTGGGAGGAGAGTTGGAAAATTGTCAAACTGGGCGAATTCGATCCATTCAAGCCAGCTTAACATGGATATATAGATATTAAATTGAGTCACAATTCCTGTTATAAATTTTAATGTACATAAAAT